CATTCTGGTGTCACAAGCCTCGGGCTGACCCTTCCCTGTGGGTGTTCTGGGGGTCCCCTCAGCCAAGGGAGTCTCCCCAGCCCACCCACCTTGGTGCCACACCCCTGATCTATTCTTCCACAGCCTCCATGAATCCCGGGGTTCACCGCCAGTTCTGACCCCTGAGCCCCCTCTCCACAGCCCACTGGACAGGATCTAAGAAGATCCCCAGGCTGTCTTTTCCATGCATGTGGCCCACATCTGATAGACCCCCCCCCAAAACACCCACACAGTCTTCACCCAACCCAGGGTGCAGCCCAAACCAACTGGCGCCATCCACCTGCCCCACGGTGGAAGCCGAGAGTCCGCCCCAGCCTCCCGCGCCTCGGTGCTCCAGGCAGAGGCAGCCGATGACCCCAGCTGAGGGGGACGCGCGCCAGCTCTCCAAAGCCCCTCCAGGCAAAGCTCACTTGGGCAACCAGTCCTCAGACACTTTCCCTTTTTCACTGGGAAAAACACAACAAGGATTTATCCAACAAAATGTTTACAAAACCCTTTTATCTCCTTACAGAACCTAGAATTGCCTGTCCAGCGCTCAGCTTTTCCTGAGCATCTCTGCCCCTCATTTTGTGATTTTTATGTGTGCTGTGCCTTGGTAGAAACTTCTGTCTTGCCGACCTGTTATGCTTCTGTTATACCGGTCTTTACGGTCTGGCTCAAATGCCCCTGCCCACTCTCCTCAAAGGGACTTTGTTGCTTCCTCCTCTCAGCTCCTTGGCTGAGGGGAAGGGAGTGGGTGAACGTTGATCTGCTTTGTGCCGAAGGTGCCTGTCCTGTGTGACCAGCTGGCTTCCCGCGGGGCAGGGCCCCACTGCACATGTGCTGGTAGCTCGGCCTCATGGAGCAGGTGCTCACCTCGGGTGACAATGACAACATGACCGCACCCTCCTGTCTCAGGCGTTTTCTGAGAGGGTCTCCTGGGTAGATGAGGCCAGCACCTGCCTGAAATGTTAGACTATGCTGCGTGAAACTCGTCTGCCCAGACTTCCTACTCTGCGCCTCCTCAGTAGCAACGCCATGGTGGAAACACTGTCGTGTTTCCTCAGTGACTCTGGGCCAGTGCATTTGCATCCTCAGCTGCGGTTCAAGACGCCCTTTGCTGAGAATGGCGGGAGCCTGACTTACAGGTCCATTCGCCCCATCCGGCCTGTCCTTCGCGTCATTCTTTCTGTGTTACCTGGTGCAATGACATTTTGTGCATCATCTGGCCAACTGCTGTCCCTGCACAGCCAGGCCCGCCTCCGGCAGCCTCCTTCCTGCCGCTGAGCTGTCTCTAGTTTGCTGTGGGCAGGAGCTCAGGGTAAACGCCAGAGCTGACGGTAACTCAACCACAGACAAGCCCTGCGTGCCGGCTTGGGGCTTGTTGATACGGCGAAGGCCAAGGCTGGGGGCACAGGCTTTACAATATGTATTCTAACAATGCCAAAGCCTTTCTGCTCCCTCCTGGCACGTCTGGGCTCTGGATGCTAAAACGCTGGCGAGCTAACCCATAGGCGTGGCTGCTGTGGGCCCAACCTGCTGGCTCAGGGTGAGGTGGCTGTGGGGGGACTCTGCCTGCAGCATCTGTGCGGACGGAGGGGGTCGGGGGTGGGGTATGTGGGCATTAGAACCCCGAGGGTCAGGTGGGCCTCTCCTTGGGAGCGGGGTCACAGGGGAAAGTCACGCACTGGCACTGAGGGGCAGGCAGGGAGCAGGCCATGCCGACCAAGGACACCAAGCTCAGAGTCACTCAGCCACCTGCCCAGGGTCACCCTGCAGCTCGCTGAGACCTCAGCCCAGACTGGAAAGCAGGCCGCCTGGGTCTTGGATTGGACTTCCTGCGCTTCAGTTTCTGCCGCCATGTAGAAAAGGGAAGATAGCACCTAGTGGGCTGGAGGCGGGAGCAGGGGAGGGGTGGGTGCTTTGCAGGGGTGACAGCAGGCTCCCTCCTCCCTGGTCTCCTCCCTCGGGTGGAGGAAAGTGCATAGAAGTGACTTCAGAAAAACCTAGATCAAGGCTCAGCTCTGCCTTTACTTCTCCGTGTGACCCTTCCCTCCCTGGGCCTCAGTTTCCCCTCCACACAAGCACGAGTTTGAACACCTTCTGAAGTTCTTCTCAGCTATGGGATTTCACACTCTGCTCCTTCCCTCCTCCTCCTCCTCCTCCCTCTCCACCCCCCTGGATGGGTGAGGGTGTGCGTGTGCCTGTGTGTGCCTGCGTGGGTGTGGTGGGCAGGGCCAGGGAGAGAGTCCTGCAGAAGCTGAAGGTGGCAGTCGGAGGGAAGGGTGGCCAGGCCTTTCCCCGCCTGCGAGGCTCAGGGCTTCCTCAGCAGCTAATGGCACTTGGGGCTGTTTAATCATTAAAGGAAAGGAATGGAGCCAGGAGCACCTCCAAGTCCGGCCCCGCTGTGAGCCGCTCACGGATGAGCCGGAGCTGCAGGAAGCGGGGCCAGGATGGCGACAGCTCCAGCTCCGAGCGCAGCCCGGGGGCCCGGAGTCGGCCTGCATGCCTGCGACGTCGGGGTGCTGGTCGTCTACTTCGTCTTCGTCATTGGCGTGGGGGTCTGGGTGAGTCCTTCTGGAGGTGGGAAACTGGAGGTGGGGGCTGGCAGGGAAGGCAGAGTCAAGGTCATCTGGGCCCAGGGCAGGGGTGGGGCAGAGCAGGGAAGGGCAGGGAAGCGCAGGGGTTGGGGTGGAAGGGCCTTCAAGAAACAGCTACACCAAACCCTCCTTTCTTAGCGGGGCAGACCGAAGCCCAGAGAGGGGCATGACTTGCCTGAGGTCACACAGCAAGTCAGAGCAGGCCAGACCTGAGCCATCTCCCAACTCCCTGCCCCATTCCTTCCCTCTTCACTATGCAGAGACCCCCGGCTCTGCGGATGCTTGACTCCAGGCCTGCCCTACCCCATTAGTCAGTGTCTCTCGGCAGGAAGCAGTGCTCCCACAGGAGCTGGGGCTCCTGCGTTCGTGGGAAGGGGGCCAGGTGGGTCCCGAGGTCCTTCTGCTCCCCACTGTTCACTGAAGCCTCAGTGCCAGGGACGGCGCCAGGCTCCGAAGTCACCAAGCCCTGAGCTCAGACCCCGACTCCAACAGTTGGGCTGCGTGGCCCTGGGAACATGCATAACGTCTCCGAGCCTCAGGTTTTTCATCCAGACGATGGGAATAAGGAACAGTGTCGCCCGGTCATGGCCACTCAGGGACAGGGCGAGTTCAAGCACCTGGCACAGCACCCAGCACATAGCTGGCAGCAGGGAGTGGCGGCAGTGATCATGGAACTATTCGGGGGAAATGCCAGCACCTGTAGCCTCTGCCGCAAGGCCGGTGGCGAGTCCCAGCCAGGCCCTCACTAGGCTGTGGCTGGGCAGGAAGCCTCCCTGGGCCTTGGTTTCCTCATCTGTAAAGTGGGTGAACAGTCCCTGCTCTCAGAGCTGGTGGGAGGAGGAAAGGGACAAACAGGTGCCCCCTGGCTCCTGGGAGGTGGCGAGTCATGAGAGGCACCGATTCGTGGGTGACTTCGGACAAGTCGCTCTCGGGTTCTTATCTATGAAATTAACTGTTTCTGCTCATTGGGACTCCCCAAGACTAGGTAGAGATGACACTGGGAAGTTCAAGGAGAGGTTGAACAACCGCCAGGCCCCCGCACACTGGTCTCTGCCCAGTGACTAGACAATTACTTTTCCCTGGGGAAGAGAAGCTTCTTGAAATTCCCCCTTTTCCTTCCTGTCCCCCAGGCATTTCTCCTGTCCCCAGACCCAGTCAGAGATTGGCGAACACTGTTCACCTCAGCAACTCAGTGACAGCTCTGAGTTGACCCTTCCCTCCTCACTGCCCTGTCCTCACCCCCGTGTCCCTGTGGTTCCTGGGCCGGGGAGCAGGGAACCTGTGTGTGGGCAGGGATTGACAGAATCTTGGGAAAACCCCACCTCTGACCACTTCCTTTCCAGGCGTCCATCCGTGCAAGCCGAGGGACCATTGGTGGCTACTTCCTGGCAGGGAGGTCCATGAGCTGGTAGCCGGTGAGTTACCCTCCCTCCTCCCCTCCTCCCACATCCGGGTTCTTGTTTCGGCTTCTCCCGCCTGGACCATGGGGGTCTCCCGGCTCGAGGCGTCTTCTCTCTAGTGTACAAGCACCTGCGGCCTGAGTGGTCTTGTTAACAGACTCCTTGGAGCAGCGTCCACAGGATGCCTTCTAACGGGCCACAGGTGGGACCTGTGGCGATGACCCAGAATGCTCCTGCCATAGAGCAGCCATGCTGAGCAGACAGGCTCGTGACCAGTGGGACCGCTGCTAAGCTCAAGGGGAGCAGAGGGGCTTGTGGGCGTCTGCAGGGAGCCTCCAGCCTCCAGACAGTGCATGCGGGGTCAGCGAAGCCTCCTCGGGAGGGCGACACGTCAGCTTGCTATAGAAGAGCAGTTAAACGAGGGAGACCCTGCATGCAAAACCCCCAACAACCTCCAGGAGTTGAGCCCGAGATTTTTGTGACCCAGTCTCTCCCATTGGGCCACCCCCCTCGTTTCTCCCTTCCTCCGTTTGAACTTTCCGCTCCCTGGGGGCCCGCAGATCTGTGGCCTAACCAGCGGGTCACCCCCACCCCCGCCATGTGGACAGGGCTCCCTGTGGCCTTCCCTCTTTCCCACTCAGCTACTCACTCACAGGGGCGCCTGCTGCCAGCATCGTTCTTTACTGACATTAATCCTTTTCTTTGTAAATGGAACGATTAATACTCAGACCCCCAAATCTTTGTGGGTATTAAGTATATTAGCACACATAAAATGCCTAGCACAGTGCCTGGCACACAGTAGGCACCCAATGAGCGTCAGTTCCACTCCTCCTTCTCTTTGCTCCCCCTCCCCCTCTCCTCCCCTGATCTCAGATTTCCTGAGCCCTGGTGCTGCTCTCCCCGCCTGGTCCCCACTCCTGAAGCTCAGGGTCCTGACTCCAGATCAGTTCCAGTTAAAACTGACACCTTGTGCCTTGCAGATCGGAGCATCTCTGATGTCCAGCAACATGGGCAGCGGCTTGTTCATTGGCCTGGCTGGGACAGGGGCTGCTGGAGGCCTCGCCGTGGGTGGCTTTGAATGGAACGTAAGAAAGCTGGCCTGGGGGCTTCTCAGGGACACTGTGGTTCTGAACCCACTGCACCCCACCCCTGGCCTTAGTCCTGAGAGGAACCTCGGGTGTGCTTGGGGAGGCTGCGTGGTGAATGGAGAACCCATTTTACAGATGAAGAAACCAAGGCCTGGAGGAGATAGAGGGGCCATCAGAGGTCACACAGGATTGGGATCAGGTCCCAGGCCCCTTATCTCCTAGCTCAGGGCTGTCCTCTGCAAGGCACCACCTCTCCGTAGGGGGCCACCCCTCCCTATGCATCCAGGACATGGACACCCTTTTCTCCCCACTCTCCCAGGCAACCTGGCTGCTTCTGGCCCTCGGCTGGATCTTCGTCCCTGTGTACATTGCAGCGGGTGTGGTCACAATGCCACAGTACCCGCAGAAGCGGTTCGGGGGGCAGAGGATCCAGGTGTACATGTCTGTGCTGTCTCTCATCCTCTACATCTTCACCAAGATTTCGGTAAGGCCATGCCAGTGTCTGGCTGTCCCGTCTCCCTGGAAATGCTGAGGACAGAGATGGGTGGATAGATGAAAGGAAGGGTGACTCCATGTACCTTCAATGCACGCTCTCCCTCAGCAGAGGATAATCAGAGATGAATGAGAAATGTTCGTGCAGTGAATGACAGTCCCTTCATACAAAGACCAAATAATCTGGAGTTCATTCATTCATTCATTCATTCCTCTCTCCAGCACCTGATTCTTCATTCAGTGCCATGCATTAATTGCCTAGGACGTAACAGTTAAAACGGTCCTTATTCTTTCTCTATGGACCTAACCTTGGAAAATAAACCCGTGTCACATGATGTGTCCAGAGGGCCAGCTCTGGGACCAAAACTGAAGCTGGGGTCCTATGACCAGTCCAGGCCCCCTGCCCTTTGCCACACTGCAGCCCTGTGACAGGTCCATAAGCAGTCATGCGTGGACTGGCCAGCAGGCACTGGGGGGAACTGGCTCATTCAGTTGCCAGGCCCAGGGCTGGGTACAGTGATACTGCATCTTGTGCCACCAGTGCTTGTAAGCAGCTGAAGTCAGCGTAGGCAAAGGACATGACCCCACCTCCTCTAACAAACCCAAACATGTGGGACATGCACAACCTGTGGTCATCTGCACCCGCCTGGGCAGCCCTGGGCCTGTCCAGCAGCGGAGTGGGCTCTGCTCTGTCAGGAAGCTGTTGGGGACTCTCTGGGGCCCAAGTGGCCTCTTCTTCTCCGATTCTGCCCCCGTTTCACTTCCTCCGTCATCCACGTCACCCCTCGCCACACCCTCCTTGGACAACAGGCTGTGCTGTCAGTGCGCCAGGTCTCCTTGCGCTCGGCCTCCAAGTTGCGTGGGTGCTCCTCTGCCTTAACGTCTTATGACAGCTCAGCAAGACCAAGCCCGTCCTCCTCAGTGCAGCACTCAGGCTCGTCCTCGTCATGTGACAAGGGCTGACCGCAGCTGGCACTGCTGAGCAGGGTGGGGACACACCCTGGTGGCCACACCGAGTGACCCCTGGTTCGGGTCTCTGCAGACTGACATCTTCTCTGGAGCCCTCTTCATCCAGATGGCCTTGGGCTGGAACCTCTACCTCTCCACAGTGATCTTGCTGGTGGTGACGGCCGACCGTCTACACCATCGCAGGTAGGGCCCAGCGCAGGCCAGGCTGGGGCGCCCAGCGACAGGGAGAGGGGGAGAGGGGAGCCTCCGCCTGCAGAGACGCAGAGGGAAGGGCTGGAGGGGAGGGATGTCCTGAGGGAGAGTCAGGAGGAAACTGTCCTTCAGAAAGTACAAGAAAAAGGAAGAGCTGGAGGTGAAGACAGAGGATCAAAGGAAAACAGAGGAAAAGACTGAGAGACACAGAGTAGCAGAGAAAGGGGAGACATAAGGGCAGAAACAGGAAAAGAGAGCCAGCCAGACAGACAGGGAAGGAGAGACCCTGAGAAAGACCCGCTGTAACAGGGAGCAGGGTGGGGACTGGGGACTGTCATCTGGACCAGGGACACTGTGGGCCACTTCAGAGGCCACCAGTGCGCCTTCCTCTGCCTCCTCCAGAGCACCCCACACAGGCCTGCGCGTCCTGGGACTCAGAGCCAGGGCAGGCTCACGGGTGGCTCAGTCTGCCTGGGAGGATGGGGGACTTAAGTGGGCATTCAGGAAGGGGCAGCGGGTGCTCCTGGCGGAGCCAACAGCTCACACAGGAACAGACCTGGGAACGAAACAGCAAGTTAGGGCAGGGCAGCCGCAGGCAGAGGCTGCTGGGTGGAAAGGGCTGGGCCGGAGCACCAGACTGGGACCAGCCTCCACCCTGCAGGTGAGCATGCAGCTCAGGGAAAGGCAGGTGGGCAGAGTCCACGTGCTAAGAGGGCTCCGTGTCTTCTCTGGTCTCCCCAGGGTGGCCACGCACAGGGCGGGCACCCAGAGAGGAAGCCCTGTTGGTGCTGACTGATGAGCCTTCTCCTTGGGTCCCTGGGAGGCCTCACGGCCATGATCTACACAGACACCCTGCAGACGGTCATCATGGTGGGGGGAGCCCTGGTCCTCACGTTTCTGGGTAAGGAGGAGAACCGCACACACCCCAGCTTCGCCCCTAAACCCCGCTCCAATCTGCCTTTGACTGTCACCTCCGTGGTTTGGTCAGCACTTCCCAGAACACAGAGCCACACCCCGCTCCAGGCCAGGTGCTTCTCTCTGTGCCAAACCAGGGGACTCCACCTCCCTCCCGCATTTCCGTGTCCCACACCAGTTCCCAGCACAGGGACTCCACGCAGAACTGGGATCTGGGGGGTGGCACGTGACAGGCCCACTGGGGTCTGAGGGCTGTCTCACTCACTGCAATCTCTCCCCACAGGCTTCAAGGAGGTGGGCTGGTACCCAGGGCTGGAACGGCGGTACAGACAGGCCATCCCTAACGCCACAGTCCCCAACACCACCTGCCACCTCCCCCGACCGGATGCCTTCCACATGCTTCGGGACCCTGTGAGCGGGGACATCCCCTGGCCAGGCCTCATTTTTGGGCTCACCGTGCTGGCCACCTGGTGCTGGTACACAGACCAGGTGAGTTCCCAGCCAGGCTTGGCCCCGCCCGCCATGAGCTAGGGGGCTGCTCCCCGAGGGAAAACTGCGCATCTGCACACACAGAGGGCGGGGCCTGCTGTGGGACCTCTGCAGGGGCACAGGCAGCCACCGCCTCAGGGTCCACCTGTGGCTGAGCCGAGCCTGGCTCGCCCCCAGTGCCTCGTCTCCACCGGTGCCTTTCCAGGTCATTGTGCAGAGGTCGCTCTCTGCCAAGAGTCTGTCCCACGCCAAGGGAGGCTCGGTGCTGGGGGGCTACCTGAAGATCCTGCCCATGTTCTTCATCGTCATGCCCGGCATGATCAGCCGCGCCCTGTACCCAGGTGAGAGCCGGCGATGCCGGGCAAGCGGGGGCAAGGGCGGGCAGGGGCGACACAGCTTTTCATCAGAACATATAGTGGTACGTTAGCCTCTGTGGGCCAAACGAATGTATCTGAATGTCATTTTAAAATCCTGCTTTGGCCCTGACTGGGCAGCTCATTCAGTTTGAGTATCATCCCCCTTACGGCAAGGTTGTGGGTTCAATCCAGGTCAGGGCGCATACGCAAATCAACCAATGAAGGCATCGGTAAGTGGGCTGATGTTTCTCGCTCTCTCCCTTCTTCTTCTCTTTCTAAAATTAATACATAAAAATAAAAATAACAAAATTGGACTTTCCCTTTATAAGGGAAAAAGCAATCAAAGCTTTCTTGGTGTTTTCCAAGGATATCTGCCTTTCTCAGGATATAATGCCTAAAACTCAAACCAGCCTTTCAGCCAGGCTGGGTAACATAAGATAGAAAAATGTTCCAGCGAGAGCTACACGGTGTGTCCAGACAGCCCCTGGCCCCACCGGCCCTGCCAGAGTGAGCAGCGAGCGCCCCCCTGCGGGGGCGGGGAGCAAATGCCGGGCCAACCCGAGAAGGCCGAGGACGGTTGGGCTCTAACTGCCCCCACTTCTTCTGCAGATGAGGTGGGCTGCGTGGACCCCGACATCTGCCAGAGAATCTGTGGGGCCCGCGTGGGCTGTTCCAACATCGCCTACCCCAAGCTGGTCATCGCTCTCATGCCCGTTGGTGAGTCCCGGTTCCCCACACCCCTGGTTCCTCCTACCTCCCAGCCACCTCCAGTCCCACTGTCCAGGAAGGGCTGCATTAAAGACAGACATGGGGGGGAAGAGGGAATAAAAGCATGCACTTCCCTACCCCTCCCAGTGTGCACACACGCACACATGCACACACACTTTCACAGGCGTGTATAAAGCACCGCTTTGTGCCCTGGCTCTGCAGATGCAGAATAGAGGGCAGCCCCTGCACTCGGGCTCCGGGCCCACTCCAGGTGCTCAGGCTGGCAGAGGCCACCACACAAGGTGACCAGTGTGGGGACACAGTGGGGCTGAGGGAGCCCTAAGGAGGCACCTGGCCCACTCTGGGGGAATGTTGGGGATGGTTCCTCAGGGGGACAGGGAACGGAGAGGAGTCCTGAGGAGCGTATTAGTCAGACAAAGCTGGAGTGTGTGGGAAACGTCACCCAGGCAGGAGGGGCTGCCGCTGCAGAGGCCCAGGGCTGGGAGAGCGTGAAGTCTGAATTGAAGGTGGCCCTGTGCGCGCTCATACGCAGCAGGACTGAGGACAGCCATTGTGGAGAAGGGGTGGTGGCCACACCTGTTCTGGCGGGTCACCCTTACCCTGAGGGCCACGGAGGGGTGCTGGGGGTTTGAGGCCAGAGTGCATGATCGGGCTTGAGCTTTAGAAGGACCCGTCTGCCTGGAGGGCTCAGCTTAGGGACAGGCCGGCAGGTGAGTGACACGGGATTGACAGTGGTCGGGGGAGGAGCAGTGATGGTGGCTTGGGCCTGGTCAGTGACTTTAGAGATGGAGAAAAGAGGTTTAAAAGGTACTGATGAGGTAGAATCAACAGGACTCAATGACATTATATTTGAGGAGAAAGACAGAGGGGTCCAAAGAGAACTGCAGGTCTTGGGTTTACGAAGCTATAGAATTTGAACGCAGGAAGAAAGGCTTATGAAGGGAAGTCGATGACTTCAGTTGTCCCCCAGCCCCCCTCCCGCCTCAGTAGAATAGAAGATGAATCAAAGTAATAGTGCAGGTCGGGGAGGGGAGGTCTGGCTGACAGGGCAGCCACAGAGGGAGGTGGGGGAGGCAGCTGAGGGCAGGTCTAGGGAGCCTCTGAGGACACCGGTATGGAGACTAGGAAGACATTATGCACCAAGAAAGGACAGGGAAGGTCCTGGAGGAAGATGCTGGCCTGGGCTGGGGACACCCTGAGCCTTCCGGGGAGAGGTGCGGGAGGTGGTTAAAGATGTGGACCTGGGCTCCGGCCAGTCGCTCAGTGGTTAGAGCATTGTCCCCACAGGCCGAGGGTGCAGGCCGATCTTAGGTCAGGGCACCGGCAAGAATCGACCACTGAATGCACCACTAGTGGAACAGCACATCAGCGCTTCCCTCTCCCTTCCCCTCTCTCTGAAGTCAATAGATAACTTTAAAATTACAGGTGGGAAAGGATGGAGGTGGGGCCAGGGGGAGTCCTCCCCTCCCCCCACCGGGGGTGAGCAGACATTCTTCAGAGACTCCAGGGATCAGTGGGGCCCTTTCCTCCTGTAGGAGGAAAAATTGTCCCCCAAAGGAAGGGTTCAGTTGAAAGATCACGCAGCTCGTTACGTACTTGCGGAACCAGGACACAAATCTGGGCTTTCTGCCCCCCCAGGCCAGGGTTTCACCTGGCACGAATATCAGTGAAAAAGGAACACAGTGAAAACAATTATTAACAATCACCCCCCCCCCACCAGTGACCCACCAGCCAAGTGTCTACAAACTCTGAAACCCAGACTGAGATGTCAGGGCCACAGAGAACCTTAAACATCAACTAGTCTTACAGCCCTTGATGGTCTAGCTTAGGCTCAGGGAGGGCAGAAGGCCCACCCAGGGCCACCGAGCAGGGAAGGCAGAGCATGGTCAGAACCGAGCAGCCAGCCCTGGGCTCCTTGCCCGTGGGGGTCGGGAACTCATCCAGCACCTTCCCCGCCCCAGATGCACCTCAGATTCACTACCCTGCTGGCCACTGCAGCCTCCATGGCTCCTGGCAGAGCCCGAATGGCCAGCCGACCGTCCATGGAGACCTTGTCTCCCCCCAGGTCTGCGGGGCCTGACGATCGCCGTGACCATGGCTGCCCTCATGAGCTCGCTCACCTCCATCTTCAACAGCAGCAGCACCCTGTTCGCCATCGACGTGTGGCAGCGATTCCGCAGGAAGGCAACGGAGCAGGAGCTGATGGCGGTGGGCAGGTGTGTTAACCTGCCCTCCTCGGGGCCACCTTCCTGTAGGCAGACCCCTCTGCCCTCCCTCCCTGCCTGGGCTGCCCTGGGGAGACGTGGCCAGGTCTGGGCCCCTGCCTGGCCTGCAGAGCTCCTGGTTCTAGCACCACCGTCCTACAAGACCTCAGGTAAGTATCCCCCGCACCGCCCATCCCCCACCTCTCTGCAGCTCTGCACCACTCCTCCTGCTCCAGAAAAGGAGGAGAAACTCTCTTCCCTGCCTGTTCTGCTTTCTCTTGAAATTGATCAACGGGATAAATGAGAGCAGCTGACAAAGCATTTAAGCAATGAAAAGTGAACCGTGTCAGTGGGCGGAAGTTAGCAACCCACGCCCCCCACTGTCTTTCAGACCAGCTGTTACCCCAGGATAACAGAGGTGCTCTTAACGGACTCCCTCACTCTCACTCTGGCACCGTGCCTTTGTGCTGGGGACACAGGGTCGACGTACATGCCCTGCCGTGAGGGTCTGCAGGGTCTGATGGGAAAGGCAGGAGCACAGGTGGCGCAGGGCCCTGCACCGGCAGAGATGTTTACAGGGAGTTAGACTCTGAAGGATGCAGAGCCTTGAACACCAGGCTAAAGAATTTGAACTTTACCTCGTAGGTGCTGGTTTTGTGCTTTTAAGAGTATAAGTGGGTGGCTAATTGTTCCTTTTCCCCCTGAGGCTGGGGGTTCGTAGTTTTCATAGGCTTACGGGGCCCTTTCTGAAATCTTTGCTTCATAATTTAAGGTTCTATAACTCTGGTTTCTGGACTAAGGTGTTCATTCTCCCCGTTGGGGAGATGGTACTTGAGCTTAGGTAACTTGCTTTTCCCCATCTCCCTGCCTTTGCAGGCACTGCTCCTTCCCCCACGGTGCCTTCTGCCCTCAGCGGCCCGGGAGACTCCCACGGCCGGCTCAGAGGGGCACCCAGACCTACGCACAGGGACTGGAGGGATCAGTACAGGGGACAAGGAGGCTGCTTGGGTAGCTGCTGCTTTCGTGGGGCCTGAGAGAAAATGGGAGGGAATGGAGAGGAGAGGCCAGGTGTGCAGAGACATTTCTGAAAGACATTTAGAAATCCTTTGGCATTTGCACACTGAACTGCCAGCCAGGGGTGCCCAACATTCTGGTGTCTCTGGGACACATTGGAAAAAGAAAGGTTGCCTTGGGTCACACAGTAAATATATTGCAACATGTAATCACACACACACACACACACACACACACACACACACACACACACACACACACACACACACACACACCTCATAATGTTTTAAGTAAATTTACAATTTTGTGTTGGGCTACTTGAGGTCCTGAGCTGCAGGTTGAATGCCCCCTGTATGAGTGGAGTTTTGATGCCATCTGCTGGCTAAAGGTATTATTGCATCCAGCATATGGAAAAAAGTTTTTCATCATACTGATCAGACACCTGCAAAATCATATATAGAAAGCATTTTGGGGACCTGGGCCTGAGCAAGAATCCATTGAATAGGAGCCAGGATATGAAGGTGCAATCTATGCTCTGAGCTAAATGACAATGTAAGGGAGAGAGGCTTAGAGCCCAGAAGCCTAGAGAAGGGAGAGTGCCTGGAGCTTGGAGCTATGGTGGAGAAGGGCTGCCTTGTACCGAGTTTGGGTGAAAAGGAGGAAGAAAGGCGCCCCAAGCAGAGACCAAAGGCCACCTACCTGGGTGGGTGGGGGGGTGAGAGGTATGGATTCCTTCTGAAGAGCAGGTGGGATCTGATTCAAAAATCCTGGGTCTCTTAGATTCTAGAGCACAGTATTCTGGGATTTTAAGAGTTTAAAATTCTGGATTTTAGCACTTGGGATTCTGGTCCTGACATTCTCCGACTCAGTGGACCACGCATCCACTCCCTCTCCCCAGTTCTCAAGCACCCCCTGCACCCCACCCCATGCCCTGCCACCCAGAGCACGCCCCATGGCACCCTGTGTCCTCCCGGCAGAGTGTTCGTGGTGGCCCTGGTCGTGGTCAGCACCCTCTGGAACCCCATTACCCAAAGCTCCAACAGCGGCCAGCTCTTCGACTATATCCAGTCTGTCACCAGCTACCTGGCCCCGCCTGTCACCGCCCTGTTCCTGCTAGCCATCTTCTGCAAGAGGGTCACAGAGCCTGTGAGTACAGCAGGTTACCACAGGGTCGGGAGAACTGAACTGGCCATGACCTGGTCTCTCTCTGTGACTTTGGCAAGCTGATTGCCCCTCTCCACACACACAGCATCGGGTCTAGAGTCGCCCACTCAACAGACACCCATCCATCTTATAGTGAAGGTGCCGGGGTGTGTGGTTTACAAGGTCCACACAGGCCACCATCACTGGGCCAGGGTCTGCTGTTTGCGGAGGTCCAGTCTCGGTCACAGCAAAACTCCACGGAACTCTGGACATTTCTGCTCATTGCAGATGTTTTGAAATTGGGATTAGCATCTTAATTAAAAAAAAATACAAGTCATCTGACTTTTACACATAGGGAACAGGCATAGCTGGGGTTGAACAGTGCTATGGAGAAGATATGAAAGGTGCCAGAGCTTTTCTTTTGTTAAAAAAGACAGAAGATGAAAAAAATAGAAGCAGTGAAGGGGAGATGTCTATGCTGATTTCTGATTCGTCGTAACAGGAAGTGGGGAACAGGGATCCTGGTGTTTATACAAGATCATGCTTCCTTCTAGTTGAATATTAAACTCCTCTACTGAGTACTTATGAATTTCTCCCTTCGGGGCACATGAGAAAAGTCGGAGTCGGCGAGGCTGGGTCACTGTGTCAGTTACTCTGGAATGGAGCCAGGGTCCAAACCCTGGTCTGTCTGACTATGGAGCCTGTGCTATTTCCAGTACCCAGCTCTGCCTGCTTTTTACGTTAAGACAAAGCCTGAGCGTTAATGGGGAATTCACGCCGACGGACGTGCAAACACTGTAACCAGCCAGGGTGGGGGGGAGAGATTTGAAGGCAGAGTGGCTTTTAGCTTCCTACAGTCTCCCACCCGGATCTCACCCCCACCTGGTCTGTCCTCTCTCCACAGGGAGCCTTCTGGGGGCTCACGTCTGGCCTGGTGGTGGGGCTTGTGCGCATGATCCTGGAGTTCTGCTACCCAGCCCCAGCCTGTGGGGAGGTGGACCGGAGGCCAGCCGTGCTCAAGGACTTCCACTACCTCTGCTTTGCCCTTGTCCTCTGTGGGCTCACTGCCATTGTCATCATCACTGTCAGCCTCTGTACAACCCCCATCCGTGAGGAAAAGGCAAGTGGACTGCTCAGGCCCAGGGGCCTCCAGGACGCTCCCTCTTCCCGGGCCTGAAATCCCACCACTGAGTTCTGCTCCATTGAGTTGTGGTCCTGACTGTGGCCACACAGTTGTCCCGGGGAGGGGACCTCATTGGGTTATTAATTCCCAACTGAAGAGTAATTCACTCCATTGGGAAATAACCCAGTGAGCACCTACTATGTGCCAGGGTACAGAGATGAGGCCTCTGCCAGCCACTGCCCACAGGGGGTGTGGTGGGGGAACAGACACCCACACAAGCAGCTCTTCTGCCGAGAGAAGGTACAGAAGGGCCAGCCTCAAAGGGCAGGCTGGGTGCAGAGGACAGGCAGTCCCCCCTGGGGTCTGGGAGTGTTGATTTTAGCGATAAGAGTGGGACCTAATGGGGAGTCCTCACCTCTCCCATGCAGACGATTTGCCAGTCTTTGGACATGGGGCGCAGTGTTTTGAAACCTTTCTTTCTTTAGAGCAAAAGAGCACTTGTTTGCTCCAGCTAACAAGCTAGCACAGAGGCTTAAACAACAGGGAGTTACTTTCTCACAGTTCTCGAAGCTGGAGGTCTGAGATCCAGCTGTTCAGAGTGGTTTCCTGTGTGGCCTCTCACCTGGGCTTGTAGGTGACCTTCTCCACTCTGTCTGAAACGGTCCTTCCCCAACCTCCTCCTCTTACAATGGCACCGCTGACTATCGGGTGAGGGCCACTCGAAACACCTTTCAACCTGCATCACCACTTTGAAGGCCCTGTCCCCACATACAGTCACATCCTGGAGTCCGGGGGGTAGGACTTACTGGGGGAGGGAGGCATAGCAGAGCCCGTGCCATTAGCTGGTCCCTGAAACTCGGAGTGGAAATCAGTGTTAACACACCTCACACCTACGGTGCTTCAGAGTTCACAACAGTGATTCCTGCACACAAGCAGGTCACTCACGGGGGAGCCAGGAGAGGCCGACGTCCACTGCCAGGAGCTTCCGCCTTCTCCACTGTCTGTCTGCTGCCTCATGCACACGCCGAGGTGTTTCCCAGTTCAATATTCCGCCCCAGGTCCTGTTCTCCTCCAGGGAATGCTTCCTCCCTCCCTGCCTCAAAAACAAACTTTTGCAAAGAATGGTCTCCATTCCCAGCCCCTGTCTCCTACCTCTTGTCCATTTCTACCCGCTCCCCCCCCCCGCCCCGCTGCAGCCTGGCTGGTGTCCCACCCCCCGCAGAAACTGCTCTCACTAGGATCCCCCATAACTTTCTTGTTGCTAACAAAAAAATCGGCGGCCCCTTCTCCCTCTATCGGAAGTGAAATCTGAGGAGAGGCAGACACCGCTGAGGAGCCCCTGCATCCCGGAGCCCTCTCGCCTGTTCACTGCCGTGACACGTTTCCCGACAGTAACTTTTTCTGTCCTTCTGATCACTCTTTCACCTTCTTCGCGGGGTCTTCTTCATGCCCCTTACATATCACGGCTTCTCAGACACCCACCGATGGCCAGTGCCCTTTCTCGCCCTGTACTGCCCCTGAGCTATCCTATCTGTGGCCATGAATTCAACAACCTTCTAGATATAGAGGAAACTCAATTCTTTATCTCCAGCCAAAACCCTCCTCCCAAGATTCAAACCCAAAGTCCAGCTGCCTCTTCAAGAATTAGAGACACCGTCCCTATGCCGCTAGCGATCCACGCGTAAGTATACAGTGAAGGTGCCGAAGAGATCCAAGCCCAGGAACAGCCCGGGCTCTCCTGCTCCCATGAGGGGCTCAGCGGGGCCAGCACAGCTGGGTGCCCCGTGGACAGTGTCTCAGGAGAGGGGCTGGCCTTGCCCTGCTGTGTGTGTTTGTGGGTGGTGGGTGTCAGGGCAGCCATTCCTGGTTCAATATGTAATAGGGAGCTGCCTGGCCAGGAGGAGAGCCTTGCTGGAAAGGAGCTCAGGTCGTTATGGCCGGGCCCCACTGATGTCAGCCAGAGAACCTGCCACCTTCTCCTCTCCTGAGCCACCACAAAGGGAGCGGCAGGAAAGCCATAGGGCTGTCCAGGTACACAGGTGTGCTTCTCTCACCTGCAAGTCTGCACTTAGAGGCCCTACAGATTCTTCAAGCTCATAATCGTGTGTGTGTGTATGTGTCATTTCTCTCTCTTGCACACACACATACTTGTGCACATACTTGTGCACACACACAAATTCAATCCTGCTCCTGCCCACTCCATCTTTGCAGGGTGGGGGGACCACTACCCACCTGATGGTCCACGGCAGGAGCCTGAGGCCACGTTACTATTTCTGTCTCCCTCGCCCAGCTCACTCTGTCGGTCCCCATGGCCTGGAGACCTTATTCCTTAACACTCAACACCACTGCTCCCTCTGCAGTCTCAAGTGCACCTCATTTCTTCCTTCACTCTTGCAACACCCTCGCAGCTGGTGCCTTCAGTTCACTCTGAGGGATCTTTCTGAACACCAGGACTTAGCTTTCCTTCCCAGTTCCCAAAGTCTGCAGTGACTCGCCACTGCACTGTTTTTATGAGATATCAACTCAGTCTGACTGTGGAAGCCCTTCGTCATGGTGCCTGCCTCCCTGACAGCTTTTTTTTTTTGCATCTGTGAGCTCGTGAGGTCAGGGGCCGTCCTACCTCGGCGTGTTTTCCAGCCCCTGTGTGCACTCAGCTCAGGGAGTGCGTGCAGGCTAATAGCCAGGTACCCTGCCTCCCATGATGGGTCCTCTCTGTACAGCATGACTTCCCTCCAGAGGCAACTGAGCAAGACAGCGTTTGTTTTCTTTCCCTCCAGCTGGCTCGCCTGACGTGGTGGACAAGGAACCATCCCCCTGCTGAGCTAGACAAGGAAGCCCCTGATGGCACACCGGGGAGAGCGGAGATGCCACCTGGGGAGCCCCCTGCAGGAGGCAGAGGGGCAGACAACCGCAGCCAGGGCCTGCAGCAGCGTGGAGGTAGGCTGAGGGTGTGCCGGGGGTGCGTATCATGGGGGGGCTGATGGGAGCAGACACTGGGCCGTAGGTCCCCGAAGACCCCTTTTGGGGATCACTGGGAATAGAATCTCTACAGGAATCCAAAAAATATCCTTCCTCCCTTCCCATGTAGCTATGAACTATTTGAGGAATAAGACAAACGGTAAGGCAGAGGAGAGCTAAAATATTGCCCTCATTGCTGGTTAAGTGTAGGTGGAAAGATGCGGCTTACATCCATGGGGAGGCCCACTTCCTAGTCCTGAACCCCAGCGTTATTCGGGGGGACCCACAGTCGCCTCCCCCTGTGAGCACTGCACTGCCAAGGAGGAGGAGGAAAAGGGAGGGAGGGGGCCAAGCCTGCTCTCTTCATCCTCCTCAGATCTACAACAGGGAAGTCCCCTCACCTTTCCTGGGTTGAATGAATCTAAGGGCAGAAAATCACAGGGTGTTACACTAATTGGGCTCCATCCACATGCAAGGAAACATCAGCTGTGGCAAAGACACAGCCCCTCACTCCCACACATATTTTATTATTTATTCCCCACTGGGCTTAATAATCTGCCTAGAGTCACACAAGAGCCAGGCCATCCTTCCCAGGAAAAAAGCAGGTGTGTCCATACGGTGCTGTCTGTGTTCATGAGGTTCCTCCAGAGCTACCCCCTGTCCCAGGAGAGCCCCTGGGGGCTGCCCAGGGGCCATATGAATGTCGCCTCCTGGAGTTCTCAACTGCATTAGAGTATAAATTACATGCACTCCAAGACCGTGCAGTATCTAAAGTTGACGTAGACTTAATGTAGCTGTTTTAGATGTAATGCAGTTATCACCTTCCTGTATGTGATTAAATAATAATGTTAAGATATTCTGATTTCATAACATCATAGAGACTTCCCAAAGTATAAAATTCCCAAGGAGAGATTGATGTTAAAAATAATCAACCAGTTTGCAATTTAATGCCCCAAATCAATTTCACTTGCCCTTGTGAGTTAAAAATTTAGTGAAATGTAAGTCCTAAGTTAACTTCCTGCCTCTGGCAGAAGGAACCCCAGTGATCGGGTGGAGTTGCAATGCCTTCAGTTACTGCCCCCTCCCACTGGGCTGGACAGAGCTCCCCTGGGGCCTCAGAAAGTATCTTAGTTCCGTCTCCATCATCTGGTGGGCCAACCCCTAATAACTCCAACAACTCTGAACCTTAAGTAAGGTTCTCCAAGCACTGGTTATTGGACCTGCACGGCTGGTAGCTCCACCACTCAGCTCCACACCTTCGCCAGGTGCTGGGAGCCCGGTGCTTTCCCGAGGGCTGAGATGCCTCCCACCTTTCTCGAGCCTTTCACCTTTGCTTAGGGCTCTGACTCCAGAGAAACAACCACTTGCCCAGAGGTAATGACCATAAACTATAGAATATGAGCTCCACCAATATCTAAGACTCCAAGCTTCTTGACCTGTTTGCATAGGGAAAAGCCAGTGGTTTTATATATATAATTATAATGGGGAATATAATCTTTTATAAAGTCCAAGGCCTACTTCAGGAAGCACCAACAGGACTTCCAGCCAAGATGGAGGCATAGGTACACTTTGCTTCTTCTCATAACAAAAAGAAGGACAATGACAAATTTAAAGACAAAAAATAACCAGAACTGCTATAAGGTCAAACTGTATGGAAGTCCAATAACCAAGGAGTTAAAAAAAGAAACATCCATCCAGACCAGTAGGAGGGTCAGGGACAGGCAGCCGGGTGGAGAGGACTCGGGTCAAGGCAGTGGCTGACAGAGTAGGTGGTCCCACATCTGAGTGCAGGTAAGCCAGGAGGAACAACTGGGGAGCAAGACAGACTGTGTCGCAACTCAGGGTTCCAGCGTGGGGAAATGAAGCCTCAAAACCTCTGACTGAAAAAAAGAAGGCACCAACAAAGCTCAAAGTCACCAGCCTTAGTCTAATCAGTTGCCCCAATTTTGCTTTGCAAAATGTAACTCCTTACCTCTTGTTTGAACGTTGTGGTCCATACACCAGATGGTGGGTCTCAAAACTGCTTCTCACCCCATGATAGCAAGGACTTGGTCCTGTTCCTGGTAAAAACTTACAGGGTGGAAGAAGCAATCTGAGAGCACAGGTCTTTGCAGGTCAGGCAACTACCAAGGGAGAGGAAAGAGCAAGGGAAAGAGACTGCAAAACAGCTCCCAAGCTGAAGCAGGGAGGGCACGGCTTATACTCTCCACGGTGGAGCCTCAGGACCAGACAGACTTGCAGGATCATGGGCTGTCCTTCCTGGTAGCCCCCACGTCAAGAGCAGAGCCTGTCTCTGGAGAATCTGAGAAATGACCGCTCCCTATGGGTGGCTTGTGCCCAAAAGGGACCTAGGAGGCACTGAGTCAGCCAAGTGCAATGAGAGAAATCCCTCCCAACCCTGAGGAGATAGAAAGGGCAGGGAGAGGCAAATGCTCTAATAGGCAAGAGCCCCTTCCCTGCCAAGGGGAACATCGGAAATGGGGCAGAAGCACCTGTCTCTCAAAAGGCAGCAGGCAGATGGAGGCTCATTTGTGCTGTACTCAGTTAAAAAGCAAAATGGCAGTGTGCTTTTGGGTCCTACAGAAAGGAAGTTCACAGTGAATTTAAGGACATCAGAGCAGATCTGAGAGAAGTATTATTGGTACATCCCAGGCTGTAGACAGGTTTAGGTTTATTGAGTCATTGCTCACCAATAACTGCCGAAGTGACTCAGAAGGGAGAGCTGGGGCCGCTTTGTGGAAAGACAGAGCTTAGTGCAATCGGAGACCTGAAGTCACCTTACTGCTCTTCAAGCAGGCCTGTGGCTCTGTGACTTTAAGGAAGTCGCTTCCTCTCTCTGAGCCTTTCCCTCCTCTGCAGAGTGAAGGAGTCAGACAAGGGGCACTGTGGTGTCTGTATCCCTGAGACTAGATAGTTGCACTGAACTCACCAAGTGCCAAGTGCCAAAGCCAATGAAGCATTTCCAATGGGCTGTATTCCACTTCAGTGAAAGGATTTTTACTGGAATTTTATTTTAATATACTACCAATAATCAAAAAAACTGTAAAAATATTTACTTTGTTTATTAGTTCTTTTAAACTTAATTTTTAATGAATCATGCTCCTTTTTAACCTCGGGGCGAGCCCCTTCTCCACGCTGGGACCTGTGTCCACATTGCAGTCTCATGCACCTCACTGCTCTGGTGCTGCACCTTCGTACTGTGCTGTCAAAGCCGCATTCTCATTTGATAAACAAACTGCCTCCAGACAGGACACACTCCATTAACTTTTTCGGGAGAGAAAGACCCCACAGCTGAGAGATGTCTTGTGATTTGCATATGGCCTCAGTCAGGAGCTGGCTTGGCCAGATGGCGGCGCTGGCCCTGGAATGCAGCTTCCGGCCCATTGCCCTTCCGTAGCAGAGATCGCAGGAGTCTGCCTGGCCCAGCTGCTGCCTCCCTCCTGGGTGGGATAATGCTGTCCTCTGCATCCTCATGGGGGCGTGTGATCTGAATCCGGTTGAGCAGCATTATACACACCTCCTCACCTGCACCATGGAGAAGCTTCTGCTCCATGACTGTTTGGGTGCTGTGGCCAGGGTCAGAGCTCAGGGTAGAGGCCCAGCTTGGCACCCACTCTGTGGCTGATAGAAGGCTAAGTTGATTGTCCCACATCCCCCCCTCTCTGTGCACTTCCTCCCTTTGGTTTCTCACCATCTCTCTCCCTGTCCTGCTCCCTCATCACTCTCCTTTCTGACCTTGCCTTGCCCCTCCCCTCCTACTTCCCTCCTCCTTCTGGCTTTTGTCTTTCAGCCTCACGCAGAACCTGGGGAAAGCTGCTCTGGAGCTGGTTGTGCGGGCTCTCCGAGGCACCACCACGGCGAGCCCTGAGCTCAGCAGAGGCCGCCACACTAGAGCAGAAGCCGACCAGCATCGAGGAGGAGCCGCTCTGGAGAAGCGTCTGCAATGTCAATGCTATCCTCCTGCTGGCCATCAATGTCTTCCTCTGGGGCTATTTTGCGTGACTCCATAGACCCAGCTTCAGCTCAGACAGATGAAACACAGCCCCGGTCTGGCCAACCACAGACACTGGCTTTCCTCCCACTTTGCTGGTTAAACTGGAGACCACAGAGGCTGAGGCTGCAAGAGCGCCTGCAGAGCCCCTCATCCAGCCTGTGCCCTCGACTGGTGGTGAAATGGAGGCCCAGAGAGAGCACTGGGCCTGCCCAGGGCCACACAGCCAGATTCACACCGGTCTCCTGACTCCAGCTCTCTTCCCATTACATTGCCTTGAAGTCCCACCTCAAAAATTCTGTTTTCACCTTCTTGGTGAGTCTGCTCAGGAGCATTTACTCAACGTGTGTTCTGAAATTAAAAAGTGGATGATACAAGCAAAGGAACAGCAAGCAAGTTGCAGAAATCCGCGTGCATCTTTGCTCACCCATATCCTTCCCTCCTCCCCCTTTTTCCCTCCCTCTATATCCCTCATTCCCAATCCCCCATCAACTGTTTTTAGCAGGCATCTACCCCAAAAGACCTCAAGCTTCCATTTGTGGCTCCACATGGTGACCATCACACCCAAAGGAGGGGCCAGGGAGGAATGTTGGCATGGTGACAGATGTGTTTGGGGCAGGGAACACAGGGATAAGGGCTCTCCTTCGCCCTACTCAAATCTGTCTCTTCCTCTCACATCCAAACACGTGCCAGTCTCCATGGCCTTGAGGAGCTGGGAGTCCAGCTGGACAGACAAGACTTGTTAAAAACAGCAGGGACTGAGACAGGCTGCTCTGCTTCGTCGTAAGCCCTGCAGAAGGTCCACACAGGCAGCCGAGGAGCCACTGCAGCTGGGCCTGTGCCGGACCCTCTCCCTTTGCCTGCCAGGAGCTCCTACCCTGGAAAACACCATGTCCCTGCTTAGCCGCCCCTCCTCCAAGAGGCTGCCCGATGCCCCCAAACTGGGTCAAGTTCCCACTCCTGCTCCCACGCCCTCTGGACTTGCCTCTGTGGCAGCTCTGATCACTGGACTGTGATGTTTATCTCCTGGCTAGACTGAGTCCTCCGAGAGGCAGGAATCAAGGCTGTGCTGTGTGGCTGGCTGGGTTGTGACTTGGGGAGCCTGCTGGTGGGAAGGACTCTTCTTCAGCTGGCGTTTACACACTGAGTCTCAAGTGGCTACAGGGGAACCACCGTCCCACCCTCTGGCCTGATGCAGACAAGGTGTCCCTTCCTTTGTCTCCCTGTCTGGGCCACCCTTGGTCTCACCAGATCCACTATAATGCTGCCTTTGATCACCGTCATCAATCATCACAATTAAATCCAGATAAAATTCTAGTTCTTTGAGGTTTCGATACAGCCGATTGATTCTATAACTACCTGCTGTAGCTGCTGCCTCCAAATCCGTATCCCCGGACTCTGCAACCTCACCCGTGTCACCTCACACGGCTGCACTCACCCTCCCGACCCTGCCCGGGAACTCACTCTCTCCCCTGATTTCCCCCCAAATCACAAGTTCTTGTGATTATACTGAAGGTTTGGGGAGGGGAGAATTCTAAACCACAGAAGCACAATTTAGAATGAAATACCGAACATCCCTGATTTCAAAAGCTCTTCCGTAGGCTGCTCTGAGAATTCCCACAGGTCTTCTCAGCCTCCAGCCTCCTGCCGCCCACTGTGGTTCTGAGTCCCCTCCCCCTGCAGAGCCCCTCATTGCTCCTCAGCCCCCCATTTGGGGGTCCCCTCCCCCGTTTCCCACTCCCTTTGTTGTGTTCTCCTCTGGGCCCCAGACTTACCTCCTCCAACCCAACACCTCATGAGCATGAGGTTCACCACAGTGAGACTGCCGCAAGGGCGGCTGCTCCTTCTCTACCCTCTTTGCCTGGTTAATTCCTGCTTATTCCTCACACCTTAGCTCAAAAGTCATGTACATCTTTATCATTTCTACGATGACCTTACCACAGCCACCTGCACCCCAGAGCAGGTAAGTCCCCACACCCAACATGTAACCTCATGGTTCCCTGAATCTACCTTCAAAGAAGATGCCAGAATAACATAGCTATGTACTTATTTCACAAATACTCAGCTTGTCTCCTAGACTGGAAGCGCCCCTCCCAAGTCCCCGTCATCTAGAACAAACAGTACCTGACACATGGTGGGTGCTAAGAAGTATGTACAAATAAGAGAAAGAATAAATAAGTGAATGAGTGAAAGAGCATTCTTAGTGGAGAGAAAACCCAGAGGGAAAATCATAACAGAATCAGGAATTCAAAAGTAGTTTAACACATCTGGACTGGAAGGTCACATGGGCAGGGCCATGGCCGGTCCATCCGTCTTCTTTGTGCGAGCGAGCAGAAGATGCCCTTCCTTCTGGGTGTGGCACTCGGTGGCGGCCAGAGCTCAGGTGCGTTGGTGCAGGGAACCACCAGCACCCGGGAGCGGCAGCCCTGCTGTGTTGGGGAGCGGCTGCTGCCAGGGCTGGGAGGTCAGCAGGGGTTAGCTCAGGGACAGGGTTCCGCGCTAAACTTGGGACATTCTTGTCTTGTACCTGGATTGGTGCTCCAGTCTCTTGGCTGTTATCTCTGTTCTCAGTTCTCTTCCAATTCACCCCCGCCCGATGGGGAGAGCAATCTTTGTAAACGCACGCCTTGGGTCATCTACCTGTTTAAGGTTCCCTACAGAGGCTGTTTCCCAGCCTGGCATGAGGCCCTGTGAGAAATGGCCTCGGGGTTCAGTCCTTGGGCCTGCTTCTGGACCCCAGCCAGAGAGAGGCTGTTCTCTGCTGTGATTAAGAGCAGGGACTTGGAAACCTGAACCTCTGAAACCCAGTCTTAGCTCTGCCACTTGCTAACTGTAGTTTAACCTCTCAGTCTCCATCCTGCAGAGTGGAGCTGGTAATTGAAGTTACGCCATAGAGTTGAGGGGATTAAATGAGTTATTCACATATTCAAAACAGTACCTGGCATATAATTAAAGCACTCAATAAACATTAGCTGTATTACTACCCTTAACAGCAGGGGAGATGGGCACACGAGGAGGCATGACCAGAAAACATGCTGTCGGAGTGCAGGGGATGGGGGAGCGACTGATTTTTCCTGAGGCGTCAGAAAGTTCATATTGGGAGCTGGACTTTGGAGGATGAACAGGAGTTTTCCAGAAGTCGTCCAAGGTAGAGGGGTAGGGTGTGGTAGGGTACGTAAGGGGCAAAAGTGCACTCAGGGGCCCCACAAAAACGGATATTCACTCATTTGCAGGTGCCTTAATTTCCCGTCATAGCACGTTTTGTTAGCGCTGCATCTCCAAGGCAGTGAGGCGCACTGAGCAGGGGCAGGTGAGGAGCAGCAGAGGCCTCGCCGCCCCACGCACGCCTCCCAGGCACTCACCAATCCTGAAAGTCCCTGCCACGCTCCCCCTGAGGGCTTCCTCTGGCTGTAGAAGCATTCCTGCCGTGGAACAGTCTGGAAGTACTGAATTCGGTGCCTGGGAGCCGCCCTCGACCAGTGACAAAGAGCTGGTGGATGCGTACTGCGGCCCCATGCCCATCTCGGGGGACAACTCAGAGGCTTGTTACAAGCCGTCTCCAGAGGTTCTTGGGGGATTGAGCCTCCGTCGCCCAGTTAGCCTGTTTCTCTCCACACCCTGAATAGCTGCCTTCCCTTCCCTGTCTCATGCCCACCCCCCCCACCCCAGGGTTACCTAGGATCACCTCCCAAATTAACCACTGGACTTGCACCTGGTTTCCTGTACTGCTTCTGGGGAAACCAAATCGGAGAGTCTTTTACGACTTGAAGGCACTTGTGTCCCAGCTTAAATTCGCCATGAGTTGCTTCGCGACACCCTCCCCATCCTCATAGCTCAGTTTCAGCATCCCTAGTAAGAGAGTGCAAAGGCTGAAACTCATTTCAATGAAAGCCAGGAAGCCTTTGGGTGCTGACACTGTGCACTTCTGATTCATTTCCACATTTGCCTCCTTGGGGCAGAGGGGGGTGGGGGCGGAGGGTGTACAGGGCGAGCAAGCCACACGCCAGCCCACGAGTGGAAACTGTGCAAATAGAAAAACTCTGAAAAGTGGTTTTCAGAAAACTGAAATAGGTTTGCCACAAGCAATAACAACACGAGGAAGTAGCTTTGGGCTGTGAAAGGGCAATGTTTAAAAACAAATAGTACTTTTAAAAATCCATAAAGAAATGTTTTAAAAAGTGATTTGCAATTGAGCTGGGGCCACAGAAGCACTCCATTTAATATGTGAGGCCCGGAACCATGTCCCTGGGTGTGAGTTCCCATCAGTTAGAACTGATGTCTCTCTAGACATCAGCCCTGAGTAAGATGACTGTTATTTTTTCTTTTCTCTAGGGTGAAAAGTTGGGAGCACTTGAAAGGTTATATATCAATATAAATCCTAGATACTTAAATTGAGCTAGTTACAGTTTACTTTCATATTTCAAATCAAACCTCAGTTTTCACCTGAATGTACAAAGTGGAAGTGTCCAATTTTGACTGTATGTGATCTTACATAAAATCTATAACCTCCACTTAAAGAAGGAAGGAAAACCCCGTCATTATACTTTATCCCCTGAATAGAACACAGAAGCCCTGGTCTATCGGTCAGTATAGGTTGTATGTGAGAATTGCATACATTCGAAATGGGAAGGGCCCTCAGGAGTCAGCAAGTCTGCTCCCTGTCCCTCCTTAGTGTGGGTCAGCATGTCCCTGAACAGCCTGACAGGTAAGGTCACCAGTGCCTGCTTGTACCCCTCCTCCAACCCCTGAGACAGAGCATGGCCCACACTGATGATTAGGAACTTCTCTTTTATTGCCTAAACTCTGCATCCCTGCCACTTGTACAAATGAAGTAAATATACTCAAATGAATCATCTACTCAAAAATTATATCCCTGCTATTTGTGATCTATTCTTAAAGGAATAATTCACAAAATGGGAACTCCCTGCAGAAGTACAAGTTTATCTGTGATGAGACATACATGAAGACAAATAAAACTTATACTTTTACAAACCCTCATGATTATTTTATAAATCATATAAAGCATTTCCACATCAATGATCTTGCTTAGTTCTCAGTACCACTCTAAGGTGTTGAATTATTACAGATGAGGCGAAACTCAGAGGAGCGAAGTGCCCAGGGCTTGCCACTCAGCAGTGGAGCTGGCCTTGGAACCCAGAATTCTGACTCCGCCTCCACACCCCTCCCATTACACCGCTCTCGCATACATATTTGTGGGTGCTGCAGGTTTCCAGGCATTTGGAACTAGTGTGTAAATAATGCGCAGCCCAATCTGTCCAAGCAGAAGCCGATCTAACAGACAAAGGCAGGCAAGTCAGCAAGTTAATGCAGTGCATTGCAATGAAGACTGAAATTAGAGAGAAACAAAATACTTTGGAAAAACAGGAAAAGGAGCAACAAATTCCCTGAAAGAGTCAAGGAGGGCTTCACAGGCACAGCATTTAACTTGGGTTTTGAAGGATGAGTAGCAATTGCTGGGTGGGAAGTGGGATGAAATAATATTGAGGCCGAAAGAACAGCACCAAGCAAGTAGGTAAGAGGTCATGGCAGGCCTGGGGTAGTGATTTGGTGTGGCTGAAGCATCAGATGTGTAGGGGGATAAAGAGATCCATCTGGAGAGGTAGGCAGAGGCAGCCATAAGGACAGGGAGTGCCACTAGGAACTGGGCACTGTGTAGCCAAGGATGGAATAAGGTCGGGAGAGTGAGTAAGGGCAATGAGTATATACCCAAGGAGCATCTTACTGTTTGTTTTAGAAAGATCATAATAGCAACAGGAGAATAAAGGGCTAAGGGCTGCTAATGGATGGCAGTTTATAAGATTGTTGCTATATCATAGGAGAGAAATGAGTCTACCAACAGATGAACAGTTAAACACAATACATATACCCACACTCAGATACTATCCAGCCATAAAGGGTATAGAATGTGATACGTGCTACAATGTGGGTGGACCTTGAAAACACTATGGTAAGTGAAATAAGCCAGACAGAGGACAAATGTTGTGTGGTTACACCTTCTAGAATAGAAAAATTCAGAGACACAGAGTTGACTAGAGGTGACGAGGTAATGGGGAAAAAGGGAGGCATATTGTTGAACGGGTCCAGGTCTTATGTTGGGAATGTTGAAAAAGAATGGATATGGTGATGGGTACCAGTTCAGTGAATGCATTTAATGCCACTGAACTGCACACTTCCAAACGGTTAATATCACATTGTTATGTGTTTTACTGCAATACAAATAAGATTTAGTGGTAGAGGGACAGGCTAAAGCAAATAGTGAGAGTTCAGGTCTGAGCACACTGATTTGTTGGGGCACC